AGGGTTCAGGGTTTAGGCTTCAGGGCCACACTAGAGTCTCAACGCTGTCTTTCGGCGGTGCTTGTGGATCGACACCTTAGTTCGCATGCAGGAATAAACTCCGATCTGAACAATTATGCAACGTGTAGCAACATGGTGCTCCGACTCTAAACACAACGGAACAACGCTTGTCTTGGGGTTCACAGACTGGGTCTACTTCGCAGCAATGGAATCGCTGCCAAGGCCTCCGCCGCGAAGTCGGATCATCGGCGCAACCTTGTGACATAACAGCGCAGTGGTGAGCGTCTAGGGATTGAAACTTCATTGGTAAGTTTCAGCAGAAATAGAAACGCCTTTGTTCCGGCTCCCAAACAACGCCCTAGACCCCAGACCCGAAACCCGGAAGCCACAAAAAGGTTCCTAAGGCTGCCGGGTCCAAACAAAGCATATCTGAGGATGTAGGGCTTCAGGGGGTGGAGTTCTGTGCTTCGGGTTTATTCATTCAGTCTTCGCACGCCTCGTCGTCAAAGTCTGTCTTAGTCTCGGATAAGAGTTACCAAAGTATGATGCATGCATCCATCTTTGAAGTAGCAAGTTCTGGCTTCAGGCTCGAAAAAGTTACAGGCCAGAACTCGGGAACCTGAGACCTTGAGAACTGAACCCCAACAAAACAGAAACACCATACCCTGCAGAATCGGCTCTGAATCCTGTGCCTGCAACCTCTGTACCCGAAGCCCTGAAACATTAACCTTTGGGGTTTAGGGTTTTTTTAAGCACCTTTTTCCTCCTAGGGGTTTAGGGTTTAGGGAAACACTTACTCCTCAACTTAATCCCATGACGTTGCTTCCCAAAATACCCGGCTGCTACTCCCAAGGTCTTTGCCCAGTTACAGACATCACAGCAGCCTGTGGCACCCGAGCCTCCACAGTAGCAGTTGAAAGAGGCTTTAAGGTTTGGGGCTTAGTTTTTAGGTGTTAGGGTTTGGGCTGTAGGCTTTTGCAATAGTTCTTACGGTCGCAAGAACTCACGCGTAGCACACACAGCGAAATGCGAACCAAATTCACAGAACCAGCAACAGAAACACACTGTGAACCCTTGACAAGAACCCCAAGCCCCCAATAGCGCAAATCATGCTAATAGTAGTGGTGAATAATACCGATCTAGGATGAAAGGCTTACTGTATATTCTAAGTAGTTTATGGACTTTCGCATTTCCTGAAACTCTCAACCACGCGGCTTTACGATGCACGGGGAGCTTTATCCAGCTGTCTGAGTCTGCGAAGTTCCTTAGAAAACCTCTAGAGGTTGAAATTAAAAACAGACTCTGCACTTTAAACCCCGAACCTTCAACTTCTCTTCAACTGTTGCACATTAAAGGCCCGGGAACGATCTGCTGTCCGTGCAGCTGCACGTGCAGCCACAGCGGCGCCCAGGACAACTTTGCTGTCCACCTCTGGCGCATGTGGGAGTTGCTCGAACTCCAGAGTATTGGGGTCTGCGGATGAGCGCTTTGAAAGGTTTTTGCAGGGCTGACGGCAGTTTTACCAAGGTCGGGGTCCAGGGAGTACTGGCCCTCAGGCGCGGTTATGTGTTCACCGAAAACCCTGCTTCATCAACAGGCGGTTGTCGTTCCGGGAGCTACGGT